AAACAGCGATACACAGAGTGCTTCCCATCTAGCCTTTGAAGGACTTTAAAACTGTGTAGCTGAGGGGGTGTCTCAGGAAGTCTTCAGAGTACCTATCATTTAAGTTCAAGTCCATACAACTTGGGCTGGAGAGATGATGCAGCAGTTAAGAGTGCTTGCTGCTCTTACGGAGGGCCTAGGTTCAGTTCCCAGCACTTACATCAGGGGCTGCAGCTGCTTGTAATTCCAGTTTCAGAGGATTCAATGCCACCTTCTGGCCTCTGAGAGTGCCTGCATGCACATGGTACACACAAACTCATGCAGACACACATAAAATTTAAAACAAAAATAAGTCCATAAAACTGTCACTGTTGAAAGAGGAGAGGAACATAAGAGATTTCTAGACTGAAGAAAGAAAGCTGGGCCTCTCCAATGAGCATAGAAGCCCTGCTTAGGAAGAGGCTAAATATTCCACTCCAGGGAGGACCACAATTTCCCAGGTAACACCAGTGAGACCTGTGTACCACAGTCTGCAGCCCAAGTGACCAATTGGCTCTTAAGCACTGGCTCATCAGAACAGGACTCTGGGCACCGGCCCTAGAGGGCAGACACCTCCTGCAGCAGCCCATCCACAGACACTGCCTAAACAAACAGACATGACTGTATACTGATACAGCTGTATTTAGAAAAGCCAAGGCCAGCCTAGCCTAGGTGTAGAATTTGCAAAGCTTTCCTGTAGAGGACTTCCATTTCTCATTCAGGCCTCTGTTGCGTCTAGAGAGAGTAAGTACTGGGGAAACAAACAAACAAAAAAGCCAAACAAATGATGAGCGAGCTGGTCCTTGGCCCCTTGGGGTTTCGGAGCAAATGTGGACACATCACAGGAGCACAGGGAAGGGTAGTGAGAGTCTGGCAAAAACGTGGAACAAAAATACCCACCTCTGATATCGGTGTGTCTAAGCAACCCCTGCTTCTTTGTAGAGGAGGGAAGACTGTGATCAGCAGCCAGCGATAAGTTTGCTGCTGTGCTCAGGGTGGAAGAGCTCAAGGGAAGGAGGCAGGCGAGACGGCTGGCAGGGAGCGCAACACCTTCCGTAGCAACAGCCGGACATCTCCTCCCTTCCTTGTCCAGCCCTGTCTTTTGCAGCCTGTGCTGCGCTTTCGGCCGCAGAACCTGGCTGGCCTTTTCCTATATATATTAAAAAAGAGCAGTGCCAGCAGCTTTGCTCTTGAAGCATCTCAAAGCAACAAAGAAAGTCAAACTGAGTCTCCTCATTGGTTGTTATAGCAACAAAGAAACCATGCAGAGGCACTGAAAATGCCACCTGGGAGACACTGAGAGCTGTTGTCACAACACGCCTTCTCTTCCTGTGCAGCCCGCACACAGTCACTCTGTACCTGAGTTCCCAGCGCTGCTGGCCAGAGAAGAAGCTAGGGGCCACCCTCTGCATTCCTCCACTCAAGCTTAGTACTTCCAGCTGGGTCCTCAGGGTCTTCAAAGGAAACACCTAGCTGACGATCTCCAGTGTCAAGCTCAGCCTGAGGGGCGCTCTCTGTTTCTGTCATCCATCCAGGGTTTTTTTTAATCAGATTTGATATCGTTTTCCATGTGCGTTGAGATTTCCTGAAGATGGTGATTGAAAGTGTAGACTCTGGCTCGACCTCAGTTGCACTGAATGAACAGTTTACCCACATTTGGAGTAGAGGGAGAGACAGCACCTTCCTTTCTCACACACTGAGCTGCATGGTTACCAGGCCTGCCTGTCTTCGATGGACCAAATCAAAGACTGGTCCAAGGAGCTTGCACTGAAATGGGCCAACATTCACCATCAGCCCCCTTCCCATATTTAATCCACAGAACGTACCACCTCATTATAAAGGGAAATCAAAGTGTTGTCTGAATGGAAATCTGGACATGCATCTATGTGTTCTGCTACCAAAGGGAAGATTTTCTTTGTTAAGATTTGGTATTGTGGGGCTGCTGGGGAGATGGCTTGGACCTGAGCTTGAATCCTTATCAGTCACATAAAATGCAAGGTGTGGCTGTGTGTACCTGTAACCATAGCTTGGGGGATAGACACAGGTAGAGCCTGAGAGCTTGCCTGCCAGCTAGCCTAGAGGAAGTTGGGAGCTGCAGGTTCAATGACAGGTCCTGTCCTAAGGCAATCCGCGGAGAGTGTTAGAGGAAGACACCTGACTCCCTGATCCAGCCTGGGCACATGTGTACGCACGAACCTGCACACTCATGTACATAAATCACACACACACACACACAAAATAGTAAAATGTCCTTCAAACAAATGCATGTTTTCTTTGTTTCCTGTTTTCCAGTTTCCTCAACAACTGGCTTAAATACTTTGAATCCATGAATTAGCTTTCTTGAATTCTGGTGCATAGCTCCTATAATATGCAACCTGTTTGTCCGCAGATGATTCTGAATTAATACTTAGTAAATGGATGAATTCCAGACAGCACGGTGGTATCTACTGGATGCTTCTGCCCTCAACTGGCCAGAAGATCTTTGCAACCATGGAACTGAGCATGCAAAGGAGAATGTACAATTTACCCTGTCTTCTCTTCCTTCCAGTAAACAAGCCCAGTGCCACTTTTCCCACTGTATCACCAAATCATCACCCGTGTCCAAAAAGCATTCCATACCTTCCATGGCCCCCTCCCAACCTTGTTTACACTCACAGGCTCACTGCAGAAGGAGAGATTTACAAAAGCAAAAACACAGTTTAAGTCCACAGTTTAATAATTGAAGGACAGACACTAAAGTGCCAGAAAATCTATAACTCATAAGAGGCAGCTGTCATCCAGAGCAGGGGTAGAGGCTGGCATTTGCAGTGTGGGAGAACAAGCTGCCCCTTATTCTTGTGAATAAAGCTTTATTAAAACAGCCATGCCTCTCAGTCTGTGGCTGCTTTTGCACTAAAAGGCAACAGAGACCAGATGATGCACAAAGCCTAAAGTACCTATATTCTGAACATTTGTAGGGAAAGCTTGCTCTGTTCCCAGGCAGCCTGTCTTAGGAGTTTACAGTATGGGCTTGGGGATGTGATGGCCTGAGTTCCAATGGGAGTCTACCAGTTAACAGGTAAGAGATTGTGAGCATAGTGGTTAGTTTATGTAGCCTGCTTGAGACTGTTAGCCCATCTGTAAAGTAGGAGGGATAACTAACTATACGTGCTTCCTAGAGGTACTGAAGTAAATAAATGAGGTAATGCAACTGAACTAGTTAGAATGGTACTTAACCGTTAGAATCCTCTAGCAGAACTCCTTCCTATAATATTTCTGTCCCTAAACATCCCAAAAGAGATCCTCACTTGAACTAGCTACATTCAGCAACATTTTTTTTTCAGTCATTAGCTTGAGACTTGATTTGGCAATTTTGACTTCATTAAGATGACAGTTATCTCTTTATTCCATTTCCTTTATCTGCTTCCTCAACTGAATCTGCTGTTGTCTGCCAAGGCCCTGGGATTCTGGGAGAATCTCTTCTGAGACAGTGAACAGAAAAAGAAAAGAAGACAAGCTGGGTATGGTGGCGCACGCCTTTATTCTCAGCCCATGGGAGGCAGAGGCAGGTGGATCTTTGTGAGTTCAAGGTCTGCCTAATCTACATAGTGAGTTCCTGGTCAGCTAGGGCTACAGAGACCCTGTCTCAAAAAAAAAAAAAAAAAAAAAAAAAGGAGAGACCTCAGTGGGTAAAGGCACTTGCCACGAGAGAGAAGACAAGGACCAAGGGCCAGATATAGTCAGGAAAAGGAGAACGAGAGTTGGGTGGGTAACCAAACTCTTATGAGATGACAATAACTACCCTGGGGAAAGAAGACTGGAATTCCAGTGAGGCCGTTAGTGAGAAAAGGTTCACGTGGCCCTAATCCATTCACTAACAGTCGAATTCAAGGTTCACGTAGCCCTAATCCATTCACTAACAATCGAATTCAATCTCCCTTGCCCAAGATCACTCAATGCTGCAGAAAAATCCTGACCAGACCTGTCCTTGGGATCCCAGCTGTGTCAGACTCATTGGGTTTAGCTCAGCAGACCTGGATTTTTAGCAAGGCCAAAGATACTGGGTTATCACTGGTGCAGATCTCCCCTTTGGGAAATTGTGTGCCTTTTAGTAGGGTGTAAACAACAGTGGAATTAAGACTCTTCTGGGTAGTTTTACAAAAATATTTTTTACCCTCTGAAACTACAGGTAATATTTTTTCCATGAAACTAATGCTTTTGGAAGGGCCTTGCATGGAGAAGAATGTGACCAATGTAAGTTCTCCTCCACTATAGAAAGAATCCCATCCCAAGCACATGCTTTTCTCGTATCTATTCGTCCAGCACATTTATCAAAGGCAAAAACTATGTGCCACGCTCAGCTGTACAGCTAGATATTAGGGTTGCCAGGCTCAGCAAAGAAAAACACAAACCGTGAATATCAATTTACATTTGAGATATACAGTGAACACCTAAAAACAAAGTCCTGTCCCACGTAGTATTTGGGGTCCACTTCCGTTATACACCTATGTATGACTTACCTGAAGTTCACGTTTAATTGGGATCTGGCAATCCCTAGTGGACACAGGTGGGTAGCCCCTGCTTTCTTGTACAGCTTTGGAGTAATGTAGTCCTCACAAGACCCAATTCCCATCTGGCACTTCCCCAGTGACACAGCCTGGGGCACAGAGTGACCTTCTCTTCAGAAGTCCTTTGCCTCCGGGGGACCATTGAGCAGGTGTCACTCAGCACTGTAATTGCATCTTTATTTCCCTGCTGACCTCCTCTGGAATTAAGGTTCTTGGCAACAGAGCCTAAGTCTTTGTACTCTCTGTCCCCAGGGTACATCAGGGAATTGGGAATTAGCAGAGGCTTACTCCAGATCAGCTTAATGAACGAGTAAACAGATGTGTCAAATGCAGTACAGAACTGTGCTCACAGTGGACCCATTTCCCAGGAATACAGAGGACAGAGAAAAATGTTCTGCCAGAGGCCCCAGACATATGGATGACAATGACCTTTTATTTTAAAACATTTTATGGCAGTACTCCAAACAAAATAAAGGTTTTTTTAAAGTGGGAAGAAGGGACAGAAGGTAAAGAATATGAGGGACCGAAGCCTTGATTAAAGGGTTCTTAATCTACTAGACAAAAGTGAGTCAAAACATTGATTTAACTCATTGGCAATGTAATCAAATACGAGTTCCAATAGTTAACCAGAACCACAGCATTAATAACCAAGGAATAGTGTGTAAACAAGAAACAGATAATGAAGAGCCATTTATTGTCAATACCAACTGTCATACAATTCAAACACTCGGAGGAAAAATCACACAAATCCACAAGAGGACAGACTAAGAAGCACAAGGGGCGCTGCACCTAAAATGAAAACCATCTGTAACTGTGACGTCAACCTCTTCCGTCCAGCTGTAAAAAGGGGGCGGGGCAGGGGGCTGTCAATATCTACACAGCATGTTTCATTGAGGCTAAGACTGTTTGTTTAAAAAAGGGAAAGGAAAGGAAAGATAACGCAGATGTTGTATTGCAGCATGTCCGATGACCGCACATTAGCAGGGCGCAAAGCGGCTTCCCTTCCTTCCGCTCTGGTTTTGCTGGCTGCCGTCTGTGACCTCCCACGTGGATCTGTGGCTGACGCGTCGCAATTGTGCTCACAGCCCTCGGCAGTTACTGTCAGTGCTCGGACCGGTAGGCTGGAAAAGTCTCTGTTCGATGAAGCTTCAGGGGACTGGTGACATCTTTTCCAAAAAGAATTTGAAAAAGGAAAGTTATATCTCGAGAAAGTCCGTGATCAAATCAGCTGGTAACGCGATTTTATTCAACAGAGATAAGGAAAATACTCATGACAGGGAGAGGGTTCCCAAGGTCCCTCACAGCCATATGCAAATAAGCACTAGCAGAGAAAATGCATGATGAGCACATTATTTGCATTTGACCTTTGCATTGACCTTTGGTTGCTGCTTCCTCCAACCAAGGTGTTTGGAGAGTAGAGAATCACAAGGCAATGGTGGTCCCTACGCAAACCTGACCAAACTGAGACAATACTATCGTTTTCCATACGTCATTCTTAAGTACAGGTGGGCTTTGTGAGATCAAGTTCAGTCTCCAGCCAAGCCAAGTCACTTGAAGAATGCCTCCGTGTGAGGTAAGACGGAGAAGGGCAGACTTTATAAAGGGCCGGTAGCCAGTACCAGTACTGATTAGATGGCCGCTGTGCACACAAGCAGCCACGGTGAACACACAATGAATGAGCACGGATGTGCCAATAAAACTTTATCGAGGAAGAGAGGCAGAGGCCGGAGGGGGCCTCGGAGAAACCTGTTTGCTTATCCCTGCAGCCAGGGACCCTTGATTTTTATAAAACCAAGACGTTCTACCGCCACCTGCCAGCTAAGGGTGGCACAAGCAGAGAATTGTACACGGCTGAGAGGAGCTCTCAGGACTGTGGCAAAGGCCGGCATCCAGCCCGCACAAGGCAGACCCAAGCACACGTTCAAAACCAGGTTGTTTGTGGTCAATGAACCAAGAGAGAAAAGCTGTCAGTCATGTGGCTCCCGGCCTTCAGCTGACTTCCTGATTCACTGTCATAAATAGCCCTGACTGAACACTCAGACCACAACTCCCCCCCAACCCTGCACCAGAGCATAAAGACAAAGGTGAGCCTAACTCCCAGCTCATCTTCTGCTTCTAGAAGAAGAGGGAAAGCAGAAAGCATGTGCTTTGTCCTCACCCAGTCCTACCGAGGATTAGGAACCGCAAAGGGCTTCATGAACTGCAAAATCTTACAGAGGTTATTCTAACCACAACCCCCCAAACAAAAACAGACACAAAGAGAACCAATGGGTCAGGGTCAGTGAGATGGCTGTGTGGGTAAAGGGCTCTTGCTGCTAAGCCTGATGATCTGAGTTTGGGCCCTAGAACCCACATGGTGGGAGGAGAAAGCTAACCCTGCAAGTTCATACATACACACATACACACATACACACACACATACACACATATACATACACACACATACACACATACACACACACATACACACATATACACATACACACATGTGCACACACATACACACATGCTCACACACATGCACACACAGACACACACATACACATGCATACACATGCACACACATACATATATATACATACACACACACAGAATTTGCTAAACCATATTCCTAAAATGGAAATGTTCTATTCTGTGTAACTAACACATCAAAATCAGGAGAAAAGTTCCTTCTCAGATTCTCAGTTCCTTCTTCTAGACAGCAGAAAGTGTGGGTGTTAACCTACTATACAATGTTGCTTGAATACGAGCACAGAGTGGGATGAGTGTGGCCTTGAAGGACAGTTCCAGGCGGCTGTAGACAGCTCAGATGAGCTTCACGTGACCAATGTAGTTCAAAACACTCATAATATGGTCTGGCATATAACTAAATGGTAGGTTGCTAGCATGTTTCTAAGCTAGGTTCAGTCCCCAACACCACACATGCACACATATGCACACACATACACACACATACACATACACACACTCATACATACACACACATACACATACACACATATACACACACATACACATACACACACATATGCACACGCACATACACACACATACACACACATACACACATATACATACACACACATACACATATACACACACATACACACACATACACACATACACAGAGCACTGGCTGCCCTTGCAGATGAGAAGGGTTTGGTTCCCAGCACTCACATGGCGGCTAACAACCATCCATAACTCCAGTTTCAGGGGACCAGATGCCCTCTTCTGACCCCCAAAGTCATTGCACAGCACAGGTGCACTTACACACATGCAGGTGATACACTCATACACGTAAAATAAAATAATAAAATATTTTAGAAAGAGAGAATCAAGGGCTCTGATACTTGTTAGTCTCAAATCTGAACCCAAACCAAACGACAAATCCAGCCACACAGACAGGAGTCCCCACTGGTAGTGACAGATACTGAGGAGTCCCAAATGAGCAGAACTCACTATTAACCATCCAGCCAGGCTGAACATGTGTGCTAGGCTCCTTCTGATGCATGTGCTAAAACACAGAGGCATTGTATCATGGTGAGTTCTAGAAGTAACCCTCCAGGTATGTCTTTATTGTGCTTTGATAAAGATTTCCTACAGAGATCAGACAGCCTACAAATAGTATTACAGCAAAATCCAGATCTTGGGTCAAGTACAAGCCCCCTTCGGATGAAGCTTCATAAATTCTGCAAGCCTTCAGGTGGCTGTTAGCTTCTCCTTGGGGCCAAGCGAACGCTGACAGAGCTGTGTTTAGCTTAAAGACAGGAAGTGGACTGAAGGGTTTCCGTCCCTTCCCATGTACTTGTAGTCGGTATGGGATGTTCGCAGGTGGGTGGCCTGGAGCCTACATCTGGACCCAAGAATTCTCTGGCCTGTACAGGCTCCTACAGTAAGTGAAATGCTTGTCAGTATTTAAATCAACAGATTTCCATAGATTTCCATGAAGTGTCAGTTCTGTTGAAATACTGGATGACATAATTGGCCAGCATCTCGCTGTAGCGCAGCTGACCAGAGAGAGGCCCTGCAGATGGCCCTCAGATATAGTCGGTACCATTTGTGACCACACCCAAGGACTCACCATTCAGCCCATCCCTCCATCCCACTCACTCCACGTGAGATCCCTCAGATCTCAGTCTATTGAATCTCTCTATCCTGCTGCATATACAGTGTGTAAGGGTTGGGTTTGTAGATGCATGGAACAATGACGGATCCCTCCAACTTAGCCACTTGCCCTAAGAAGCAATCACCCTCAGAATGGCCACATTACTTGCAAGGGCTGGATCAACCCTTGATGACACTCTAATCTCAAGCCATCAGCCTCTGAACACCCTTGGGGGGGTCAAGGTCTTCTCTCACAGCCAAGGACCATCAGGGACTCAGAATGCTGGTCCAGTGCTAGTTTCTCCACACACCAAGTCCATGATCCTGAGCAGGAACATTGCCCCATGGGTATCCCATTCCTAATTCACTGAAACAGAGAGAATGACCCTGCTCCTGACATCTAGCCATGTAGCCATGGTGGGTCTTTCACAACATGGCGGACTCCAGCAGAGACACACATGTGATGCCAGGCTTTGGTTTCCTGTCTGAGGAATGACGGAGGGGCTTATTCTCCCTTGGTTTTGTTTTGAAACAAGTGAGGTTCTATATCCAAGGCGATTCCACGAGGAAGAGTCTGAGCTGTCTGTAGCGGGGGGGGGGGGGGGGGGAGGGGGGGGGGTCTTTAACGTAAGAGTGAACACGGTAAGAAAAGAACTCAAGGGTGTGAGAGAGGGCACTGAACCGAAGCCAGCCCTCCCCGCCTGTGTGTGCCGGGCCTGCCTTGACGCTGCTCTCCCAGATGTCTCTTGTTCCTTTGCAATTCTAGCATTAAACCAGGAGTGGAGTCTGACACTGGTGGGCGCTTAGCACCCTCTAGGCTTCTCCTCACATTGTGTCTAAGCAAATCTTGACCACTGGTACCCACTCTCCTGCCTCTCTCCTCATACCCCCAGATAATTTCTGCCCCAGGGCCTTTGCATTTTCTGACCTCCATAAGGCAGCCTCTACTACATTCAAGGCCATGCAGTAAATACTGGGCTTCTGATGGCTACTTCATCTGAAGAATGCCCTCAGAAAATAACTCTGCCTGAGAGCACTTTCTAGAAATACTATAAACACATTCTGTGCTGCAGTTGAAGTCCAATATCTACTTGATTACCAGCTATGATTCTTCATTATACTGTCAGCTGCAGGAGGGAAGATACATGCCCAGGCAGGAGCCCCACGCACACCTGTTATCCAGCACGGTGCTGGCACAAAGCACATGTGCATTAAAAAGGTACTAGGTAAATGACTGTGTAAGATGAATACAATGAAGAGACTTGAACCTTAGCTGCTTATTACATAGCTCATCTGGACACATCACTGACCCTTCTAATTCTTTATTCTTGGTAGGAAAGAGAAGATCTCGTCTCCCAGACATCTGTTTCAAGACCTAGATAAAGCCAGTTTGTTATGTGTATATGCAAAACCTGGTACTCAGCAGACCCTCTAAGAGAGTGAGTTTTAAAAAATATTAATTTATTGGCTGGAGATATGGCTCAGTGGTTAAGGGCACTGGCTGTTCTTGCAGAGGACCTGGGTAAGGTTCCCGGCACTCATATGGCGGCTAAGACCTCCAAGGGCATCCCACATACCTGAGAAATTCCAAGCACCTGTCACTGCACGCATGAGGAGGCCAGAGAATAACTTTTGGGAGTTGGTTCTCTCCCTCTACCTTTGGGTCCCTGGGCTAGAATTCAGGTTGTCAGGCTTTGCAGCAAGCATCTCAACAGGCTGAGCTATCTCTGACCTACCTTTTAAAAAGACACATGTTGAATGTGGTTTATCTCCTTGGTGAAATTCAAGAGTACCTGCAGCATCCCCTTCACGGTCCCTTGATAGGACAGCATGTGCTCGCTCACATGTACACGCCACATCTCATGTGTGGGGATCAGAAGACAACTCGCAGGAACTGTTTTTCTCCTTCCATCATGTAGCTCCTGGGAACCGTGTTGTCAGGAGCGACAGCAGGCGTGCTTACCTGCTTTGCCATCGCACTGGCCTGACCACAGCGCTTTCTTTGCCGGGAGCAGGGGTCAGCAACGTGCAGTTTCTGGCACTGGGTACACTGTGAAACGCTGCTCTTGTTTAACCTAGCACGTCACTGAAGGGATCACGTGGATACGGCATCCCCCCCCCCCAAAAAAAACGGCGCCCTTTCCTATATTTCTTCCAGTTTTATGCCAAAGCTCCCTCACGTGTTGACTTTGTGTCCACCTAACAATGTAAGAGTATTTCCATGTGAACACTGCGGACAGAGTGGGAGGCGCAGAGAAGATAAACAGAGCTTCAGGGATGCAGTAAATGCCAAAACTTCACTTCCAATTCCACATCTACCGGCAGGTGGCGCTATAGGACTGAACTTGGGACGACAAAACTATTTCCTCAAACCAGTTTGATAATTCTCCCTCAGGGGCTCTGTATGATTTCCAAGATTACCCACCAGATATGCCAGGAAACCTTGAACTTCATCAAGGTAGGTGTGTTGCCCAGAAGACTGACAGCCCACAAACACCAGTGAAACAGGAAGTAAGGCGGTCTCATAACTTCTTCATGTGTGCCAGGCACACGGGGACATCCGTGCCTGGGAAGGTGGCATGGTGGTATGCAACAGCTGAGCTGAGCCACTGGCCCTGACCAGCCAGGCCCTGGTCCCCAGGCAGGCAGTATGCCCCGCTTACCTTGAAGACGGTAGAGCTGCCCTGTGCTGTGCTGCCTGGTGATGTGATGCCAGTAGGCGCTGCGGGGCAGGGGCACCACGGTGCTCAGCGAGGCTGCCCTCTCACTCATCTTCATCTGCAGATGGGGTCAAAGAGAAGAGGTGAGTCAGCAGGGCTGAGCCCCTGAAAGACCTGAGCGAGGGCCACATGAGCAAGCAAGAGTCCAGCTGTCCACACAGGAAGGATCCACTGTGGTGGGTAGCCACTGGCTTCGTCTGCTAAGTGGCTCCATGCTTCGCCCTATTGGCAACATTGACTTCCCTTTCGGATCTGCACTTTCACTTAGCTCATTCCCTCTAGTCCTTGGTAGATGACCTCATCACCACCCACGACAGGCCAACCTGACACAATCTTCAGGGCCTCTATTAGAATTTTTACAGACCAATCAATGGCCGCGAGGTGAGGATTTGTGGCTAATTTTATTAATTGTTCAACCCTGTGGATCTAGAATATTTCCTGACACATAATAGGTATGCAAGGTGGAAGGACGGGTCTTCTCATGGAAGCAGAAAGAGAAGCAGAGCCTACCTTGAACAATGGAGCAAGAATGCGGTAGGGAGCAGGAACCAGTGATAGGAAGATACCCAAGAAAACAAAGTGAGGTCTAGACATGCCTGGCTGGGACTCAGAGGCCAGCCCCACCTCCTCAACCACTCAGTTCCGGCAGGTTTGAGTTGGCTGTTCTATCACCAGCATCATAAAACAGCACAACACACTTGTCTGCTTGGCCATAGGCCTTTTCTCAGGCATCACTGTTCTAGGTACCAAAGGTGTGAAAGAGACACACAGCACAGGTACCCCAGATCTGGAGGGACCAGGGGCGCCTACCACACAGAAAGGAAGTTTCAGAGGGAAAATGGCCAGCAGAATGGGTAGAACAGAAGGAAAAGCAAGCAAGGACCACATGTTCCAGGACGGGCAAGTGATGTAAAGACATCCTTACACACTCTCATTGGACAGTTGATCTCAGACGTTGATGACACGGTTTTCTCATCCCAGAGCACAAGAAGTGACTATTTTCTAACCTTGAAACCTTCCCCTCGATGGCTGAGCACAGGGTAATGTACTGCAGTCCAAAAATAAAAATAAAAAACATTCATGAAGCCAGAGAGCACTGGCTGCTCTTGCAGAGGACCAGGTTCCGTTCCCAGCATCCACACAGTGGCTAACAACCATTCATAACTCCAGTTCCAGAGGATCCGATGCCCTCTTCTGACCTCCGTGGACATTGCATGACATGGGTGCACACATGCAGGTGATAAAAAAATCATAATAAATAAAATATTTTTAAAACATTCACAAAGACACAGACTTGTGTAGGATGTTCACTGGTGCGTGATTTGTGGTCAGCAAATGTAAGTGTTCCTCAGTCAAGGCCTGTTAGTTGCTCATACACAAAACAGTGTTTGGCAGTGGTCTTACCCGAACACAGAATTAGGTTAAACTGCAGAGGAAACATGTCTGATAGACCATGACGGAAGCGATGACCCGCAGACCTCTTGTGCTCAGATGAAAATGATGGTGGTAAGTACCTACCCGGCTGAGGAACAGGAACTTGATGAGAGAACTTAGCCTTGCTTAGAGAAAAGTAGGTACAGGGAAAGAAATGGAGATGATAGTGATGCTGATGGTGACGATGGTGGTGACAGTGTTGGTGATGATGATGGTAGTGACAGTGTGATGATGACAACTATGATCATGATCATGACGGTGGTAATGGTTGATGATGATGCTGATGGTGATGATGGAGGTGATAGTGTTGGTGATGCTGATGATGGTAGTGATAATGGTGATGGCTATGATGATGATGATGATGGTGGTGGTGGTGGTATCAATGATGATGGTGATGGTGGTGATTATAATGATAATGGTATTAATGATGATGGTGATGGTGATGGAGGTGATTATAATGATAATGGTATCAATGATGATGGTGATGGTGATGGAGGTGATTATAATGATAATGGTATCAATGATGATGGTGATGGTGATGATGATAGTGATGAGACGGTGGTGATGATGACAATGATGATAGTGATGGTGGTGGTATTAATGATGATGGTGATGGTGATGGAGGTGATTATAATGATAATGGTATCAATGATGATGGTGATGGTGATGATGATAGTGATCATAGTGATGATAATGATGATGGTGGTGATGATGACAATGATGATAGTGATGGTGATGGTATTAATGATGATGGTGATGGTAATGGTGGTCATGGTGATGATGATGTTGTGATGATAGAGATGGTGATGAGAGTGACGGTGATGATGTTGTGATGATGATAGATGTGATAATGATGATGACAATGGTGGCAGTGGTGACCATGATGATGGTGGTAATGGTGGTGGTGATAGAGGCAATGATGGTCATGGTGAACTTCAATGACCATTCAAATTTTTTTTTTAAGAAAGAGTACCCCAAGACTGAAGAGATGGCTTAGTGGTTAAGAGTACTGGTTGTTCTTTCAGAGGACACAGGTTTGGTTCCCAACATCTACATGGCAGTTACCAAATCCAGTTCCAGGGGATCTGATGCCCTCTTCTGGTTTCCATAGGTACTACAAGCATGTGGTACAGGCAAAACACTCATACACATAAAATAATAATAAATAAATTGGAAGAAGTACTCCTTCTACATATGCCTTCAACATTGTAGTTTAGACACAATGTCTGCACATCAATCAATAAAACCAAAATAATATTAAGCTTCATAAACCAAAACTCACTGCAGTTGATGAGACTCATTTTGAAATAAGAAAATATCCATTCACTCAAGAGATAATTTAACTTATATGTGTTGCTTCACACTTGCTGGATTGAATTCTTGGTGCTCGTCATAACTGCATGGTTACCAAAATGTGTCTCCAAGTGTTAGGAAAATACACAGGGTTTCATGGGGATAGTTTAACCTAAAAATGGACTGTTAGCTCCAAAGGTGGGAAAGATGAAGACTGAGCTAGTAGAAAGGTCCAGTGGCTTTTTCTATCTTCAAGAAAATCTCACAGAAACACAAAAGACTAGCAGCTGTTGACCAGCGACATATGGTGACATCCAACCTCATTTATATGCAATGTACGAGATGAAGGGAGGGACAGGACAGATGCAGACACTCGTTATTTGATTTTCTTCATATAAAGAGATTATATATTATATTATTAATATAATACAAGTTTTAATATAAAGGAAACACTTGGGAAGCAGGAGCCATTTCAAATTATTCAGTACTTTACTGCAAATACATTTAGACAGCCCGGCATGATTTGGCAGTATTTTTAGAAAGCTTATTTATTTAGGAACAGGAATAAAATGGCACCAGTGTCATGTTTTTTAGAGAACAGCACAAAGCCTGGCTTCCTATTTCTTCCTCAGCCCTTTGAGTGAATATCTAATTTTATGAAAGGGCCATTTTTTTTATTATGCTTAGAGAAAAATGGTGAGAAAGGATGTTTTCTGTTCGACAATGCAAAAATGTCCAAATCATTCTCTAAAGGTGAGAAGACAAGGAGTTGCTTGACCCCAACACAACCTCAACACCATCATGGATCTTTCTCTATGTTACTGAATGCACCTGAGCTCCATGAGAAAACAGACCATGGTATTAAATGAAATAAACTGTACACCCTGCCTGCCCACACACGCATGCCCCATGTTCACTGACACTTTGTTCTCCTCTATATAAAGCAATAGCCACAAGGAAATCATAAGCCATCCATGTTGTCTCCTGTGTCAATAAATTGAATACAATAATGAAGCATCCAATTTGGAAAAACTTGGGAAGCATCTGGCCCAGACTTTCAAATTAACCAGCAGAGAAATCAGGTGTCCTCAGGCATACAGCACAGCTGCTTGGAGGTGGCCTTCTCATCTCGCTTCCGCTCCAGTCTCATGCCTCACCACAGCCTACACCACCGAGTTCAGACACTCTAATCACTAATGGAAAGCCATGGTACTTCTGCTCCCAAAGTCCTCTCCAGGTCTCCCCTTTGCTGTCCTCTGGGACCTGCTCAAGAGATTTCACCCTCCATGCCCCTTCAGGGGATCAGGCACTGCAACCACAGCTGTGTTCTGACTCTGATCACTTCAGGATTCTGCTAGAGCTGCTAAACTACTCTGTCCACCTCCTACCGCAGACCACGAATTCCTGGAAAACAGGCAGCATGGTTTTAATCATGGAGTCTCTAGCTCCTCGCTGGGGTCTCCAAAGGCTAAATAAATGTGTGGTTGATGTATAAAAGAATAAATAAATGCATGAATGAATGATTCTCAGGCCAGCAGTGGGGAACAGTCTTTAGAAATAAGTTCTAATGCTGCCAGCCAATGAGAAGCAGTGTTTGAAGGCTGAACTCATGAGGCAGTACTGGGTTCAGGTTCAGGTTAAACAAACAGAGCTGCTGCTGGCCGTGAGGCTGTGGTGCTTAGATTCCACCTTGTCCACTGCACCATCCAGGTGACAAGCCAGACACATATGCATGTACAATTGTTTAGGGCAGCCTGGTAGCAGGTGACCTTGGCATTGGACATTTATTCATTCTGTCTTTAGTGTTTGCTTAAGATCCCACCAGGAGGAAGGCCAAGGCTTCCTGAAAGTCAAACAATGCCAGGCTTCTCCTCCAACACATCTCCTTTCCTCCACACCACAGGGAGGCTCCCAGGTCTCTTCCAAACCCGGCCTAATTGAGTCCTGCTGCTGTGTGCTGTTGAGAAAGACTAAAAGCAGCCAACCAACCTGAACAACCAACAGGGTTCTGAATGCACAAAAAAACAAAACAAAAAAAAACACACAAAAAACCCCAGCACTCTATCAGGGAAGAGAGGTTGGCCACAGACTGGGCAGCCCATGCCACAGATCAGGTCTGCATCAAGTATGTTGTTTAGACTTTCAAGTCTCTTTTCTCATACAAATAAGGGAAAGTCAATTACACTATAAGCAAATGATTGACAAAACTATCAGTAGGGGCTGGAGAGATGGCTCAGCAGTCAAGAGCACTGGCTGCCCTGGAGCCAGGTGCAGTTTCTTGCACTCACATGGCAGCTCACATCAGTCCAACTATCTGTAACTGCAATTCCA